GAACTGAGATTTGTACGCAATGTTCATAGCAGCATTATTCACCATTGCAAGAACATAGAAATAGCCCAAATGTCCAACTATTGAATGGATTGAGAAGTTATGGTACGTTTACACGATGGAATATTACACTACATGCAGGAGCAATGATTTTGTAAATCATTACCTAACTTGGGAGGGACTGGAGAGCATTTGGCTACATGAACTAACCCAGTCCCATAAGGACAAATAATGTATACGACCATTATTGTAGAAATATGTAACTAGTAAAATGCGTATGAGGATCCAAGGGGGGCAGAGGGTTGAGGATGGACAGGGGAGTAATCATAGGGTCACAGAATTTGATGGGGAGAAAAAGGGGTGGGTAAAGGAAATGGGAAAGAATCGGTGTGAAAAACAATGCATATAAGCTTTAAAAGTAAACCAGTAAAAAAATGAACATTTTCTTTTTAATAAAAGTGAGCCTCATCCTTCCCTTTTGAAGACAGAGTTGTGACAGTCCACGCCATGAGCTGTACTTTGCTCACTTTTCCTCCTGGCCTCCAGCCCCAGCTGCCGCCTCATTCAGGAGAAGCCTGGGGCTTTTCCCACTTCACAAGTGCGTGGAGCACCGGTGAGCGAGCTGCTTTCAGGGACAGGCTGCAAAGGGAGAAGCCCGAGGTGGAGGCCAGGTTCTGGCCCCAGCAGGTGAACTTGCTGCCTGACTGTGGGCCTCCTAGCGCCGAGCACACCAGCTGCATAGCTGTGACACCGTTCAGTCATCCATGAATCACTGGGCTTTTACAGGGAGAAAAAGTCGTTTTGTTTGCTCTTAGCTAACTTTGTTCTTTTTTTAGTGATACTTTTGCTTTTACCTAGTAGTTAACAGATAAACCAGAGTTAAAGCAAGCTCTAGTGGCCTAGTGGTAGAGAAGTTACACTGCCAGCCCGAAGGTAGATGGTTCAAATCTACCAGCTGTACTGCAGGGAAAGATGGGCAGTCTCGTGTGATTTACAGCCTCTGAAAACCTGCTGGAGGGTCCACTGTGGGTCGATTCTGACTGGACGTTGCATAACAAACACGACCATCACCAGTTAGCGCATGGGGGTCTTTACATTATAGGGCACCTCCGCCCATACACACCCGTGAGTTCATGTCACAATTCGATTTTCTCCAATGTTTAGATGTTTGAGCAGAATCTTCAGGTTGCCGCTCAGATAAGTGAAGATTTGAAAACAAAGGTACTGGTTTTGTGTCTTCAGCAAATGAATTCTTTCTTAAATAGGTACGTATTTTGCCAGTATATATTACCAATTTACAAAGTACATATTTTTTACATATAAGAACAAAAAGTTCCTGCTCGCACGCTGCCTATCTAACCCTGGCTGCACCACATGCTCTGATGGTTCTAGCAGTGAGATCAAGCGGGCCTTTTCTCTTGGTCACCCTTGGGGACTGGTCTCCATTGCCTGAGACACTCCTGCTCTGACATGCTGGGAAGCAACAGTGGGATCAGTGCTGCCCTGGAGGCAGTGAGGTTCCTCCCTTGGACAAGTTTCCCTTTTTGTTACCTGCACTTCCTTGGCCTTGAGCTGTCCTTCTGAGAGAACCAAATGTTACAGATTATTGCTTATCAGGAGACAGTTTTTAGTAAACCCAGTAATGCCGTTTTTCAGGAGAGTCTGTTTGTGAGACACGTGTTTCCGTTTTCACCTTTATTCACTCTGGAAGTGGTGTTTCAGCTATTTTGATAAGTGTGGCTGGTGAAGTCGTGTCGTGTTCTGCACACCTTAGTGCTTACCTGTATGCTTGGCTTGTCTCAGATACAAAGAGGAGGCGCAGCTCTACAAGGAGGAGCACCTGAGGAACCGGCAGCACCCGCACTGCTACGTCCAGTACATGATTGCCATCGTCAACAACTGCCAGACCTTCAAGTGCGTGACTGCTGACCACACGGGTAGTTCGTGAAAGGGCAGAGAGGGTGCAGGGAACTGTTGGTCTCACTGAACCGCACCTGTTTTGTTACAGAGAGTCCATAGTCAGCTTAAAAAAGAAGTATTTGAAAAGTGACGTGGAAGAGGCCATGTCTGTGAGCCAGCCCAGCATGGATGCGGTCTTGGATGCCATTGCCAAGGAAGGCTGCAACAGCCTGCTGGAGGAGGTCTTCCTGGACCTGGAGGTGGGTGTGGAGGAGGGCGTCCTGGGGGTGGACGGGAGCTTCCTGGGTGAGGAGGAGGAGTTCATAGATGTGGAGAAGGGTATCCTTGATGTAGAGGTAGGCTTCCTGGGTATGGAGGGAGAGGTCCTGGGTATGGAGGAGGACTTCTAAGCTAGAATTAGACAGCCCTGGTCTGGAGATTGACTTTTAGGTTGACCTTTTACTTTCTGGACTCAAACTCAGCAGATGCAAATCCTTTCAAACCAGTTAGAACCAACCCATAGCTGGCCTTCCAGTGGGTTTTCAAAGGCTGTATGATTGACCTTTCACACTGAATTTGCACCATCAGAGAGGTGTTAACTCTCGGTTCTCAGAGCAGCTCCCGATGGATCACATTGCCACAGCTCCCTTTTCAAGGCTCAAGGCAGTAGTTTTTATCCTGCCTAGGAGTCACCATGAACTATGGCTAACATTGAGAAGAATGGGAATCCTAAAACACTTAATTGTGCTCAAGAGAATTCTATACCTAGATGAAGAAGCTGTTGTTCAAATGGAAAAGCGAACACTGCATCATTTAAAATCAGGAAGGATTGCACCAGGGTTATATTGTCTCTCCATACTTATTCAATCTGTATGCTGAGCAAATAATTTGTCAAGCTAGACTCTATGAAAAAGAATGTGGCATCAAAGAGGAAGACACAATCTTTCTTGCTGAAACGAAGGAGGGCCAGAAGTGGTTGCTGCAGAAGGTCGAGGACTACAGCCTTCAATATGGATTATATCTCAACATCTGAAATAAAAAATCCTCACCACTGGGCCAATAGGTAGCATCATGATAGATGGAGAAAGGATTAAAATTGTTAATTATTTCATCTTACTTGAATCCACAATCAGCACCTTTGGTACTAGTGGTCAAGAGATCAGAAGACATACTGATTTGGACAGGTCCACTGTCAGGGACCTCTCCTCAAGGCTGAAGAGCAGTGATATCAGAAGAAGGGACACTTTATTCAAGCCATGGTCTTTCTGATCACTTGCTATGCATCTGAGAGCTGGACAGTGAAAAGGATGACAGAAGAATGATGCCTTTGAGCTGTGATGTTGGAGAAGAGCACTGAACGTCCATGGACGGCCAAGAGAACAGATAGGTCTCAGAGACAGTACAGCCAGAGTGCTCCTTGGAGGCAAGGGTGGCGAAGCGTCGTCTCTCATACTGTGGACGTGTTGCTAAAGAGAGGATGTGCCTTGGAGAATGACATAATGCTTGGAAGATGAAGGATCACTGAGAGGAAAACCCCCAACGAGATAGATTGACACAGTCGGTGTAGCAGTGGGCTCGAACATAGCAGAGATGAAGATGGCACAGGCTGGGATGGACTTCAGGTTTGTTGTTATAGGGTCACTGTGAGTTCTAGTCGCTACCACCTAACAAGAGGCAGAATCACCTGGGGGAACTTCACACACACACACTCCCACTCCTCGATATGCACGAGTACACATAGGTGCACACTCCCCATATGCATGTGCACACCCCCATACATACACATGCACGTATGCACACACGTATACCTGCTCCCCATAGACACCTGCACAC